ACGGCCCCTACGGCAGGGCGCTGCCCGGGCAGCCAATGGGGCGCGGCGGCCGCTGGGCGGGAAGCGACCGTTGTTGCGCGGCCGTTGGCCACGTTCTGGTCACGCGGCGGCTGCTGTCGCGCGGCCGTTGGCCRCGTTCTGGTCACGCGGCGGCCGCAGGCGCTTCCCGCCTTTTTCTGGGCTGAGACAGCCGTGTCGCTCGGGCGGCGGTCTGAGGTGGGGGTGTCTTGTGATGGCTGCGTCGGGGACTGCCTCGCCCCATGGTGGTTGGGCAGGGCTGTGCCGCCTGATACATCTTTCCTTGCTGCCCAAAATATGACSTGCAGCTCACGTTTAATCCACACGGTCGTGGTTTTAAATTGTAGCCTTCAACGAAGCAGTAATTCAAGAGCAACCAGCAGAATTATCTTTCATAATTTGATAGTGAGATGAGCAGTTGCTGCCTTGAGGTAACTCCTGTTTCCACTCGAACCTGAATGAGTTGGCAGCCACGGCAGCACAAGGCAAGTAACACTGGAAGAACATCTGTCCCAGTGGGGAGCCGCAAGCAGCTTCACTGTGAGCATTTGAGTTGAGTATGAGGAAAATGTTAACTGTCTGTTGTGCACTTCAGAGGGCCAGYCCAATTATTTGTCATTATTTATGCAGTTTTGCACATCTTTTTTTCCTTTCTTTGAAAATCCAGATGTTGCTCAAGTGAAGCCTGGCCATGTGGGTTCCCATGGCTAAGCAGTTATTTTCCCTTGTCCCAAAAGATGGAAATGGTTTATTGAATCTGTGGGCTCCTGTTCTTCAAAGGAATTCTATGAAAGCTTTCAAATCTGATTAATTCTACAGGTTAGCAAACCTCCAGCTTCCCTCTTCTGGGTCTTTTGGTCTCAGATCAAGGAAGGACAAGATGCAACTAGATGTTAAACAAACAAACCAACAAACAAAGAGAAAAAAAAGGTGAGGCAAAGAAAAGAAAATGATTATTTTCCCAAATTAGGACAAGCTGAAAAGAGCTCTGAATGATTATCTGGAAAAATGTGTGAGGAATTATTTTTTGTGTTTGCTTAAATGAATCAGAAAGGAATACCCAGAGAGATACCCATTTGGCAACACTCATTAAATCCAATTTACCCGTTACGCAACAAACTTCATTGTGAGAAGAAACAAAGGTGGGTCTGTAAAATGATGGTAMGTCTGTTTGCTTTTGTTTAGCTCAGAATTCTATCTGCAGTATGGGAAGAATTGAAGAAACAACGCCAAGAGAAGTATCTAGAAGTTGTCAGTCTTCCGTATAAGTTAGAGAAATGTATTCTCAGAAATATATGTCAAATGCAGAGCACACTGCAAGCATTTTCAGGCCAAAATGAGTTACATGTTTCTCATGACTCTTACCTGGTTTTATCCAGTTTACATTTCAGTGTTTTCTTTGTCTTCTAAACATTTTTAAAAAATAACCCCCCCCTTTTTTTTTCCTCCCCCTTTTCCTGTTTTATTCTCTACCTATTTTAGGGGGGACAGGAGTGGAAGGGGAAGATAAGGAGCCAGTGGGTATGGTGCCAGCCACTGGCCACTGTACTGCCTGAAATGCCATTAGTACCTATGAATTATACCTCTAATGCCAACAACTTTGCAATTGTATAGGAGCTGCTGCAAGCCTTCTAAGGTTCATCTCAGTATGTCTGGCTATAAGTAATTAAGATTGGATTCATAATGTAGAAAAATTATAGGGAAGGTAAAGGAAATACAATAGGGGATGTTATTGGGGTCATGAATAGAAAGTTAGAAATAGGGAAGTTTTTGATATGTGGATAATACTGACCAAATAAATGATGAAGTAAAATATATGAACGAAGGTGGTAAAACTTCATTCCAAAGACAATACTAATATCCTAAGTGGGAATAAACTTCATTATTTGTTAGAGATAAGTAATCAGTGTAACTGTAGTGTAACAATACATTTGTATAGCCCTCAGACCAGTGTATGAAATGCATAAAACTAGTATTTGGTTGATGCTTGATAAATCAATAATATTCAGTAAGACAGTTACATGTTCAGAGAGACTTATTTAATAATATGAAAATGTGGGRATGAACAATCCTGTACAAAATTTCAGATAATATTTTAAAGATTCGGGAGTTGATTGAAGTGGTGCACTAGGTATGCATTACTAGGTAAGGGTTACATTGATATTCTGGAGCCTTTTTATTWTCTTAAACTTTGAAGGTAAAAATCTTGGGTGGCAAAACTCAGTTGCCACAAACCAGTGGATGGTGGGGAAATACGAAACAAATTTTGAGGATGACTCAGGTCAAAGAGAGGATCACCAAAAACAATGTTATCAAGTTATGGTTATTACATTTTTGTTTTATTTTTTGGCTAAAAAAATAAATTCCTCTTTGGATGAGACAAAAAGATACTACAATATCTAATATATAAAAAGTAATTTCTATCTTTCACTGACAATTCTTTCTAAAATTTAGGTCAAGTGGGATCAAGTTGGTTGGGTGTTTGGCAGGGGAATGGACTTGATGTCAAAAGATTAGCTACTTCATTGCTGCTACACRGGTCAATACCCATCACAGCACATACGCTGTTATGTGAGGTAGCATTTTATCAGCCTTGGGGGTTAGTTCTGCAGGGAATATTTTACAGTTAGTGTCAACAGAATGAGTTACCAATCCTTTATCAGCAACTTGAGTTCGTGTGTGTGAAGGAKTTGCATAGCTATGCTAGTCTGTGAAGAGCAGGACTTAGCCATTATCCACATGTATCTGGGTAAACAGCTGCTGCTCTTTACAGAGAAAACTTCATCAGTGTGATGGAAATCAAAGCATCATTGGAATTTTTTGGTGGCAGAGCATCCATCAGTGGATCCTCTGGAAAAATCACYCTTGTACATTCATATGGTGGAAATCCTTCAGAGCAGAAATATGATTATTTACTGCCCAAGGTAAGAAAGAGCTAGAATAGTGCAAGGACAGAGCTGGCATYGAGCCTCAGACTAGGCAAGGTTGCCTTGTGCCTGGGTTGGAAGTCTTGGACAGAGGAAGGAAGGGCTGGCTTGGGTCCTAGCAATGCTATCTCAGTAGGCTGCAAAATCCAAGTGCTAAAATTTAGCACAGAATAGAAGGAAGGGGATAAGGAAGCTAAAAAATAATTTCGTGAGCGTTTATGTCTAGGCTTGTTCCTACATATACTGTAGGACACAACCCGGGCCCAAAGATTTTGAAATGTTTTTYGTATTTCCCAATATAGCTATTCTGTGACTGTAGAGCTCAACATTTAATTCCAAAAGTAGAAATGTATGACGTTTAGCAATAGATAAATTAAGATACAGGGAGTTTCCAAACTCATATAGGACTGGCATCTCTGCTGAAATTGCTCATAAAAGTGCCAAATAGTCCAGTAAATTTTTTTTTTTTTTCTGTGAGGGAGGTCCTAATCTGCTAGAAATTTGAGACTTACTAATTTTCATATACACCACCAGACATCCATTAAATAGAATTTTTTTTGTTTAAAGGATGGCCTGTATTTGAATCTATGGTCTGAAGATGAAAAGCTGTGCGGTCCTTTAATGTTTTATTTTCGCTTTAGCTTATTTCCTCCCACTATTAGAATCTTAACAAGAGAAAATTAGGATACATCCCGGACACACTCCATAAAAGAGAGAAAATAATCAGCTTATGTCTGCATTTCTGCTGGGTTTCCAGAAAATGGTAAGAAGCAGATTACTTCTCATTAGCAGATTCAGAGATTTTTATACATTTACCGGTAGCTGCTGTACAGGATTTCTTAGCATAATCTGCAAAAGAGTCTCTGAGGAAGCTAAAGAGTTTTATGAATCATTATCTGCTTTCTTAGCTACTAGTTCTCTTTTACAGTTTTATTGATAAGGCTACAGTGGTGTTCTGCTTCACAAAATCATGACAAATGTGAATATTGCTTAGTTAATATAGTTCTCTGATTTGGTATTCACATCTGCTACTCCTGATAGTGAGCACTGATTTCTCTGAAAACTCATATACAAGAATTGACTGAACTAATTCACATTCTCTGCAGACGTATTCCAGAAGGACTTCTATAAATTGTTTTTATTTTAATAAATACATTTTTATTGTACCCATAATGTCGATTCTAATTTGCATTTTTGGCATTGCATGTGGAAACAGGTCTTTAGATCCTTAAACTGCTTTATTCATCTACAGTTTCTGCCACCACTGTTGAAATAAACTTTTTATAAATTTTTCTCCTATTTTAGATAAGCTTATAGATCATTGCTTGGAGAAATCAAATTTTCTTATCATTGTATTTGASAATAAGAGCTGAAGCAACACTCAGTTTATAAGAATGCAGTTGAAATCATACTTTGTACAGCATGAAGTTACTTTCTTAACTAGAAATAAGGGAGAGAACGGTCGACTAAAATTTATAACAGCTTATATGCATCAGTGGAATTGACTATCCCAGCTAAACTCTTGAATTAGAATATTTAATCCAACTTTGTAAAATAAAAATTTAAGATAGAAAAATGAGTGCCTAGAAAATGGGGTCTGGCCTAATAAAATGAAGCTGTCCAGATCAGGTTTTCCGCACTTCTTCATACAATTCTGGAGACCATATTATGGCTTCTTTGTGTATACCTGTAAAAACGTGAAGTTTGCCACCCAGTCCAAATTTTGCATCTTTTTGCACCAGTTCTTTTGGGAATTCCTAAAGGTGCATCTGATGAGTTGCTTTCTTTGCTTTAAGTGTATTTGTTTGATGGGCTGGCAGCGAATGTCTGCTGCAGTTGCTGTTTGGATTTGACCACTGAGAAAACCAGAGGAAGCCTCTGTGCGTGGGAGGTCGAGGCAGGGCAAAGCCCCGTGTGCTGCATCTTCCATCGCTGCACATGCTTCCCCTCCTGGCTCAGACCGCCTAGGGAACAAATTGTTTGAACTCAGCTGCTGGAAACTTCTTTTTACATTTGCGCAAGCAACCAGATTATCACAAGTGACATTTCGTAGGATGGTTTGGGTGGATTCTCCAGCAAGTGGTAACTCTGTAAGGCTGATCTAAGTAAAAACAAAGGTCCTTCCTGACACTCACCTTTTAGTGTAAACTCAAATCTCTCTAAATAAGATGTTTATGTGTGTTGAAATTTTCTGATGGGGATCCTAAATTTATTTATTTACATGTCCTTGCTTGTAGTTTTTTGGGGTGAGGTAAATTTTATCAACTTGTTTTAATAACTGAGACAAAAGAACTGTGAAGCAGCTTGCCTAGGAAGTTGGTGACAGATACAGAAACAGGAACAAATAGCCCAGCAGTCAAATTCTAAAATCTTTGAGCTTATTTCTGTAGCATTTCTATTCACAGTTTGTGTACAAGCAGGTGGCAATTCTAAATCAATACAAGAAGACTGTGAAAATTGCCTGTTGTCCTRTGACTCTTACTAAAAACATTCTGGCCCTGTGAGCTCCAGATGGTTTAAATGTATTTAATTCTGCAAGACAGTTTCATTGTTCCATGAAGAAAAGTGAAAATGCTTAATGTATAGGTATGTTAATATTTGATTTGCTCTGCTGTTTTGTAGAGGATTGAGATTAATTTTAATTTGTATATTTGTAATTTCAAATTGCAGATGAATGCTGATCTCAGTAACACATTTTTTTCTTGTTAAGCAGAAGGAAGAAAATACCCCCCCCCTCTTTTTTTTCTCCCAAGAAAAGTGTATTCAAAAAGTGATATTGCAAGCATTGGAATTTCTGGTTTTGGAAAGCTAACAGAATTTGCTGTGATACTTGCTATTACACAAATASGACTGTTTCAGGGTTTTATGTTGCTTTTCATATATTTATTTTCTTTGTTTCTACTATCTCCCCACTTGTTCTCATTCATGTAATCTGACTGATATACTTGTAAGTATAGTGTAACTAACAGTTAACCTTTTTATATATGTAGTAGTCTTCTCTGACCACCTCCTGATTAAATAGAAGCCTTTTTGTCTTGAAGCTTGATGTAACTAATACAATTCAGGGCAGTAAGTGTTTGAAGACYTGCACCTGCTTCTGAAAAAGCACCCAAGCTATCTTCTGATTATCATTTCATTATCCCCAGGTTATCTGAGTACAGCATGGACAGGTACTTTATCCATCTGAAAGGCTGAATAATGATTCTAAGTTTAGGAGTGGTTATCTGAAAATTTACTTGTTTCATTGAGATTAAAATTCTAGCTACAAACAGCYCTTCCTCCCTTTCAGGCTGTTTGTGCATCAGATGATCCATTCTGTTTTTTGTGGGAGTTTCCAGTCATAAGAATTTATTGACCAAGGTGTTTTTACTACTGTTGACTCCTGGAAGTATTGTGAAGTTAAGGTAATTATCTGGAATCTGCTTCAGCTCAATTAGTATTAGATATTAACTCCAGAATTATTAGAGAAGGAAAGAATGTAATCTTTCTCAGGTTCCAGGTTGAACTTGGAGTTGGCAGTGACAGAGGTTTTCCTGACTTTTAGTTTTCCTGACTTTTTAGTTGTAAATCCTGAGAATATGGAACCACACAATTCTGTAAAATTGTATCATGGCTTTTCATACTTTACTAACAACACTTAAAGTCTTATCCTTTTGTATGAACTAAAAGATCTAAGTGAAAAGAGCATATCATTTTTTTTTTTTCAAATGGTGCTTTTAAAGACATGGTTCTCTTACTCYATCTCATATAAGAATACTCTTTTCTCTGTCAGAAATGAAATGTGTTTACAGGGAATATGCTACAATGCTTCGACAGGCTCAAAGGTTTCAGTAGCTGAAGAGATGAAAAAGARCACACGGCACATATATTTATGGAGGTAGGAGATTTAATTCTGGTCTTTATTAGGTCAGTGCACATGTCCTGAATGAAATATAACTCGATCCGTGAAAGGGACTTATAAATGTATATGTTAAAGATAAAATTGCAGGCAAGAGCATCAAGTGATTTTGAGTTCTCTGTAATAGATACCTCTGTTTCAGAATCTCTTTATTAGAATTAACTAGCTTGTAAATGACAGCCTAGAATACAAGGGGAAGACTTAAGGGAAGTCCTACATACATACTTTAAAGTGTTGCTAAATCATTAGCTAAGAAGTACCAATTTGCTAGAAGCTTTARTGTATTAATATAGTCTAAACCAGTAACTTTAAGCTGTTTTTTTTTTCTTTGTATGAGGGTTTTTTTTTCCACTGTTCTTGTGAGCCTCCCACATTTGGATATATGAGCCATTGCTCCACGAAGTGGGACTTGTGGCAATATCTTCTATTCCTACCTATTTCTCTTTAACGTTCTTACCCTCTTTTTACACTTATTCTAATCTTTTGCTCCCCAAACCCTATCTGCTCYATAGGGCTTCCTGCTTCCTTATTTCCCTTTTGTTCTGCTTTGTCCCYTCTTCTCTCAAATGCAGTCATCAGGTAGGCTGTTTTTGAACCAGAGCAATTTCCATGACTCACTGTTTCCTGGGATTCTGTCATAAGGGCATCAGCTCAGCACCACTTTCATTTCCTTTCCTTTCTTTTTTTCACTTTGCTTCAGAAACTAAAGATAAGGGGAGAGCAGTGGCAATCAGACTTTCCTTTGGAAATGCAGCCMTATTCTTAGCAGGAGAGATGCAGCAATAGATTTGTAAAATATCCATGTTCTTTGTACTAGTCTTTAGAGTGTCTAGATTAATTTTAACACAGAGGCTATTTCATCATTAAAACATGAATACTCTTTCTGAGAAGCAAATAGATGAATAGAAGCAAATAGGTAGTATCAGAGGTAACAAAATCTACTGACAATAGGGTAATTTACAAGCCTTTGTAAAAGCATGTGCTGTGCACATCATGATAGTCTGATATACAGTCTTACTATGGAAACTGGCTGATTTTTATATAATATGTGCACTTATTTCAAAAGAAGAAAATATACCTTTTTCATAGAATAAGTTGAATCTTTTCTCAATCAGCTTTTTATTTTATTTTGTAGGATGTTGTTACACTATAACCATTTATTTAGTGTCGACTTCAAGTTGCTGTACCAGTGAGTTACAGCTGCAGAGTATTCTGTGTGATTGATATATGATACTTGTTTATTGAGACATAATTAAATCTTTCTGTTTAATGTTATGATTAACCTGTCACAACATCCTGTATTTTAATGGACTATTTTGGCCTTTTGTCATCTTGCAGCGGTGCCGTGGAATGTAGCASTTTCAGAAAGAGAGCACCGAGAGCAAGATTTCTGTCTACAGTACAAAAGATAACCTTTTGTGTCTATGTACACAGGTTTTCCTTACAGATAACAGCATGAGGGATTGAATATTAGCTGTAACACTTATTAGATGGAAGTAAACTGAGATTTGATTCATGCTTTGCTTGTGTTCATAACAAGTGGGCCACTACCTTGCTGTGGAATGGAGTCAAAAAATTTCTTGCTAGGAGAAGATTATTCCAATACTTGCAGCTGGATAAGCAGTCCATGTCCTACTTAAGCATAAGCAGGTCAATCTACATGGCTAGGAAACCAGCTGAAGAGGCCAAAAGTCATGTGCCAGGACAGTCTCAAGTCTTCCCTTTTTGGACCCTTGGGATGTATATGGATCTCTTATTGTTATCAGGTTTCCTGTGCTGCAGTTTTGATGGGCTTTAGATATGGCCCTGCATGAAATAATTTTGTTTTATTCCTCTGTCTCCCAAAGTCCTTCTTAGCAACAATCTGCTGACAGAAGGGGATTGAGAATTGCATAGATTTGCTGGCAGCAATTAACTTATGAGAAATTGTTTTCTGCATTGCTTGTGGCATGACAAAATGAAAACCATAGTGATATCTGGACCTTGGCTGATCTTTGGTACCATATCAGACCAAAGAAGTGTGTAGCAGTATCATCAACTGTTTCATTTTTAAATAGCACAGTAGCACAAATTCAGTCAGAAATATGTATGGTGCTATCTTAAACTCACTCTTGCTGCAGGAAAGGTAGTTATCACTACTAGAAGAGACCAATCAACTTGTGGTCATTTTTCATCTATCTTTTAGCCATATGCTGTATTACAGCTTTCTCAGAATATAGTTAGTATTAGGATGTCAGTATTTTCCTTTGATTCTCATACTCAATTTATGTCTATTGAGTAGAGTTTTCTGTTTTCTAAGCATACCTCTGGAGATGCTTCTACCATAAAAGCAGATTTGGCTTTACACAAAGGCAAGCTTCTTTTGTAAGCATTCCTGAACCTCAAAAGATACCAGGGTATCTTGTGGTGATAGCTATCTTATTATCACTGGCAGTAAATCAGAACTTAGACTTTGACCGTATTTGACAGAGCTGATACCTCTAAGCAGTACAGAGATATGGATAGAGATACGAAAATATCTGAGAGAAGATTATTTAAAAATTAGAATTAGGAATGGGAAAGTACCAGTCTAATGAGCAAGTATGTAATTTTCCCAAGCCTTTTGGTCAGAATGTGCTTTCAATTTAGTCTGTTTGAATTTCTTAACTGAAGTACTGGATTTTTTACAATTGGTAAAACAAGGAAAAGTCTTTCCTACCTCACAAAAGTAGTATGAAGATCTACTTTTGAAGGCAAAAAAGCTTGCAACATGAGTCCTCTAAGTTTGACACTTTTTTCAGACCCAAGACCTTTAACACAAATTAAAGCATTTCTACACTTTAGAATAGGTTGTCTGGCAAAGAGCAACTTATTAATTGGGGAAAATTTCAATTACTTTTCGATGAAAAGACCTATATATATATCTATATRAAAAATAAGCTAGACCTCATCTGCCTCTTTAACAGAYGAAGTCATTTAGTCATACAGGATGATGGTAGTATGTGGACTGTTTAATATTGGCTCCGTCAAGAAGCAGATCAGTAAAATCTGAAATAAAAGGGATTGATCCTACTTATGTTTCTTCCAGGTTTTCGAAAATGGATAGTGATAACTCCTGTATGCATTCTCTAGGGAGTCCTTAGCTGCTTCCTCATTCTGAATTTATGTTCCTGTACATTCTCCAGTAGAAATACAATGTGATGGCCACTACTCTCCTTTAAGAACAGGTTAGTAAAACGTCCTTCAGGTTCTGCCTCCTACATGTTTTGTGCATAAAAGCTGATGTTTGAAAAACTATTTTGAAGTTGATAAATACTATAAGAACAATAAATGTGGTTCAAAACATAAAATGATTAATAAACATCAAGCAGTTTTCCTGGCAAATTATGACAAAAAAGTCAATTTTTATAATAATGTGTCAATACTCTGAAAGTGGTTTCCTATGGATAGGCAGAATCATCTGCTAGCCTTAAAATTTAGGATAAAAGAGCTGAAATCTTTTTTTCTGAGATGTGACAAGGAAAATGTGAAAATAGAARAGGCACAGTTAGAAACCAAATGATGTGCAAGTTTTGAGGTGATTAAAATATGAATAATATCTCAATTGTCAAATGATTACAGTTATAAGGAAGGGGGCAGCTTTATTCTTTCTTTTAAGATGCTTAAGTGGGTTAGTAGTGGTCTTGGAAGTAGCAGACCTGAAGTCCATGCCTTAATAGATCTTAAACCCACTTGAGACTTAAGTCATTATTAGATACTGAATGGCATACATGTAAGAAATATGGTGTATCTTCAATTGCTTCAGTTTATAGTCTTATATAGTTCTGTATGGTATAGTTCTATAGAAATTACTCTGTGTGTGTGTGTATGTATATGCTGTATGTATAGTATAATTATAGTTTAGTTTCTAGCCTAATGATCAACTAGTTTGCAGCTTCAGTGTAGTCCAGGCACTTGGCCTTCAGTCGCTGTGGTGTTTAAACCTGTTTTAAACAGTGGCAGCTTGGCAGTAAAACACCCCTGGGAACTGCACTGATAAAAGCRGCAGTGGAAGATATTAGGGGGAAGAGTGTTGGTGTAACTGTATCCAAATCCAGTTTGGAAAATCATCTTCCTTCCCACCACCTCCCAGGTCTTTCCTGAAGGCTTTTGAATGGGTGAGTCACACTGAAATCCGTGATTCAGCAGGAAGCTGGAATGCAGATAATGCCAAGTTAAAAGAGAAGGTGCAAAGCACTGAAAAGTAAACAGTCACTTTGGCAAAATTTTTAGTTAGTTGCTTGCACCCAAGGGTATTCCAGCATGCTCCATTCCCAGCCTCTGCTTCCTCCTACACACCCACCCCATCCCACTCCAAAGACTAAAGTGCAGGGAAGCTTAATGACCGGAAATGCCTCAAATGCATTTTAAATCAGTTAAAGACTGATGGCTCCTGGGGGCCTTGACTCTCCCTGAGCATTAGAGCTCACTGAAATTGCCCTAGACTCTCCTCTGACGTGTTTCAAAGTCACCTCGCATAGCATTCCTGGAGCACGTTCGCCTTCCCAGGCTGCCATTGCAGCATTTTAGTAAGGGGCATTCAGAAAAGGGCAGTGACTGCTTGATCTCGGTGGGCAGAAGTGGAGCAGCAAAGCTGTGCAAACAAACAGTCCTCTGATCTTGCCTGAGAAACGGGGGGCCACACGGGGAGCATCTCTCTGAACAGCAGCCAGTGTTCCTCTCCAGGGGAGGGCAGCGGGTGCCAAGTGGCTCAAGGTGGGACCATTCGTGCGGGTTGTTTTGGTGCCAGGTTCCCGTGAAGCTCCCAAGGGTACAAAGGGGGGCAAAAGATAAGGTAGCAAGTGGTGATGCAGAAAAGCAGAGGCAGGAAACACCAAGTCCTCGTTACTGCAAAGAGACAGAACTGAGGACATGGAGAAGGTGCCCGGCCAGGTGCCCTCCCTGCTTGCGGCACCTCCAGCTGCAAATCGGCRCCCACAGCTGCCCGAGGTGGCAAAGCCTCTGCCGGGGCAGTGCTGCCGTTGCGGCCACCCGAGCTGTGCAAACCCAGCCGGGGAGGACATCCGCTCCAGGCCATCTGCCTGCTGCTATTCATTTTTAACTCGTTTTTTAATTTATTTATTTTAGGGTGCATTTGAGGACTTGCTGCTCCTACCAAGCTACCTCCGTTCGCGCGGAGCTACGGCCGCGGGTGAGTCCTACCCCGCGGCGCCRTTGCCCTTTTAAGGGGGCGTGGCTTTCCATCGGGGGCGTGACTTGCGCCAGCGCGCGCCCCCGCGGGACATTCCGGGGGCGGGGGGCGCGGGGCCGCGCCGTGCCGGGCCCGAGGCGCGGCGGCGG